TCTGGGCTTGGTGACCTACACACTGGGGTTAAATCAGTTCACTGATATGACATTCGAAGATAACAGTAAACTTTATATGGCTAGTTCATGGAACACTTGATATTCAGTGCATCACAGATTCATCCTGTGTAAACCATGCCAAACAGACTGTTCCAAACTGTAATGCATTCTGTCACGGATCTGTCACGGATTGATGTATTGGTGATAAAATAAGGAAAAATAGCTGGGTTTTGAATAGAAGGGCACGGAGAGGAAAGCGACCTCGTCTACACGATGGCACTGAGCTGACTACCGCTACTTACTTAGTTTAGGACCGGCACGTTCATTTATGGCAGCATAGATTTTACTCACAATTCACCGTACTTGACCTGTGGGTGCCTATGGATACTCCGTGTTGGTGTTGTGCACTGTTTTGTGTGCCGCTCATCCCGGTTATTCAACATGAATAACTTTGTCTCGGAGACACAAAAAATGTGAAACAGTTTCGAGTTATCGTAATGAAAACGAACTTTTAAACCATACATAAATGCCCGTTTGTACAAATAGGTGTTCAGTGTCAGGGTCTGTCATATAGCAGACATAAATTAAATAAGGCAGATAAAAATGGCATAATCTTTCGAAAAAACAGTTCAAAGAACATTTTCGCTTAATGCTACACACACATGTGAACTTTGTACCTCAATTCGATCAGCGGTATGAACATATATATGTTCACATATGTCAGGAGTGAACTTCGGAGATCAGCTTCTCAACATGGACTGTTGTGTGAAAATGCAACTGTTGATCATCACACTACTCACACTCGGTGCGCTCGCATCGAANGACGAACTGTGGCATCACTGGAAGCGTGCGCACCAGAAAGAATACAACGGACCGGAAGACTCACTTCGACGAGCTATTTGGGAACGAAATGTTGAAAGAATCAAGGAACACAATCTGCGTCACGATCTGGGCTTGGTGACCTACACACTGGGGTTAAATCAGTTCACTGATATGACATTCGAAGAATTCAAAGAGAAGCACTTGTGGAAAATGCGGTCGAGTTCTGTCATTAAGGGAACACCTTTCGAAGGGAGCAATGTCCCAGTACCCGAAACGCTCGATTGGCGCGAGAAGCGCTGTGTGACTGAAGTGAAAGATCAAGTGGGTTGAAGCTCTGCTTTGTTGAATAAAATTTTCTAGGGACAGTGTGGTTCTTGTTGGGCTTTCTCAGCAATCGGGGCAGCCGAAAGTCAATATATCATAAAATACGGAAAAGTCATGCATTTTTCGGAACAACAGCTTGTGGACTGCAGCTCAAACTATGGTAATTACGGATGTGATGGAGGTCTGATGGAAAACGCTTTCGAATATATGCAAGAATATGGAATGGAAACAGCAGAGGCATACCCATACGCGGCCGTGGTAAGTGTGAAACAGAGAGTTTCTGAATATCTATCCCCCGTTGTCGTGCATATTTTATTCACTCCATGGTTCCTTTAATTTGATCTACAAAGTTTTTATGTGTATTCACTGGATTTTCCCTCAGGACGGCAAATGCAAATACAACCGAAAAAAGGTTCGTGCCTTAGTGACTGGATATCGTACTTTGAAAAGCGGAGACGAAGGAGCGTTGAAACAATTGATTGGTAAACATGGACCTGCCTCCGTAGCAATAGATGTAGAAGACGACTTCCAGATGTACAAGTAAATGACGTCAACATTTCATTGAAAGTAATTTGTTCTATTTAACTTTTTCACCTCACACGTCAATCACGGAATATGTGTTTTTTATGTTTTGTTTCGGATTTTGCAAAATCTCAATCAAATGTTACTTTCCTCCTTATGCTCTTCACTCAAATCGGCTTAAGTATCAATAACAGGAGAAATAATCTAACGAAACTGGATATTTTATTTATAAGTTAGACCTGTAACGAAAGCATTCATCCTTGTTGCACTGGGATTGTTTTCCCTGGCTGTCTCCAACTTCTTTTGTTTGAATTGCACGAATACTTCTAAATGCGATGGAAATCTTTGTGGGGACCATCAAATCCTAACAGTTCCCCTTCAAATACATAAGTACTATTAATCAATACGGAAAACGCACGCTAGATTACATTTCATCGCAATTAATATGGTACTAATTTATATTCATGGTCATGTTAAGGTGTGCAAATTCGGTGGAACTAACACATTTTCTGCCCCCCCCCCATTTTCAACGTGAACTGCTGCTTTCTTTCATTGTACTGAAATATTTACAAAACATTGAAGGAGAGGCAAATACAATGATTACTATGCGAAAGAAATTCAAAAAGGAAGGGAAGTGGTTTTGGTGGGGTTCCAGTACACAACATCCCAAGAGGTCGATCGATGATCGTAACCGGGTTCATTTCTTCGCTCAAGAAGAGAAGATTCGAAAATATTCACACTGAAAAATGTCCTGTGGACGTGCAGGCCCGACTAGGGATCCTACTAATGCTCACTCAGTCAATGTGTAGTGACGAGCCTCAATCTGAGGCCAGGGCTTTCGTGGTCACTGTAGTGCCCACCTTTGGGCATTTAGGAGAATGGTAAAATATTGATGTTCTATAGTTCCAGATAATCCACCCGACTGTTTCTTTCATGTTACTCCTTGTAGTGCAGATATTCTTTGGTATAAATCGCTGAAAAAGGACGAATAAGTCAAACGCAGTCAATGAGAGAACCGCATAATCCTACGCCTTTATTTAACGCATATTATATCTCACAGTTCCATTCAACAAACCGTTTTCATTTCACACATTTTGACGATATCCAAACAATTCTATCGAATGTTCTTCTATCGCTGTTTCAGAAGTGGAATTTATGAGTCCGAATCGTGTTCGACGGATTGGTTGAATCACGGAGTGCTGGCCGTTGGATATGGAAAAGAGAATGGTAAGGATTACTGGATTGTGAAAAACAGTTGGGGCTCGGATTGGGGCGATAAAGGATATATTCGGATGGCGAGGAATAAAAACAACATGTGTGGGATTGCCAGTGAGGCCAGTGTGCCCACGGTGAAACATTCGGAGAACTTGATTTAAGTGTGATTGACGAAATAAATATTTCTTGGCGCCATAACGGAAGATTTGTGTTGTATTTACGTACTGATCCGTTGAAAGCATTTAGAAGATGCACAAATTGTTTGGAAATGATAGAACTAGTGCTTGTGATATACACTACGTACTTTTGGAAGCCTTAAGACACAACACTGAACAGCTTTTTCTTCCTTTTTGGTACTCGTCAGTAGTGCGCATGATGTGTCTGTTGTTTCACAGTGTATAGTGAGAGCCGTTTTATTTATACTGATAGCACGGGGAACCTCGGAAGATTGTTTTACATTTTCCACTCACCAGATTTTCGTCACAATCTATCAGTGATCACATTGACTATACAGTCCCAACTCATAAAGATTGCTGTAATACATGGACTGTATCTTTCTGTGCATAAACTTACACTTTCACTTGCTTTCATCTTCACGTTATTGGGTCCATTGTTCTTCCATCGAACTTTATGCTTTAACAAAAATGTATGGTAGGTTTATCGGTGCATCCTATGTGCCAAGAGACTTCAATGCACAGCTGTTGCAACGACATGTTTTCTGGTTTACACTGATCCTGATTTGGTCACTTGTGAGCTACGGGATCCGTATGCAAGATAGTCATGACTGGCTCTAGTCTACATAGTTCCGGTTGGTAGACACAATGAGGCTGGAAGAGTATTCAGCAATCTGATGGAAGGAAAACTGTGTCATGTGACTTAATAATCAATGGAATTGTGAAGATGCGTACAAAAGAAGTTCTCTCTCTATTGGACAACCTGATATGATGATCCAAAAGCAATCAATTACTTTAAAGATACACTTCGATCAGACTGACGTAAACGTTAGCACCGATGTGTTATTTCGTTGAAACTGAAACATCTCGTACACAGCACCACTGTGAGGTCAGATCCGTTTTTCGGTTGCGAGGCCTCCCGTCGAGGGAATGGTTTTTCATTTCCAGTTGAATGATTTCCCTTAGTGGAACGTTCAGTCGTGCATATTCGACCACGTTCCTAGTTTCTGTATGCCACATGCTCATTGTTTAGCTTTAGGGTGGAGGTATTCGATAAAGTAGAGACGAACATTTCCGGCTGCCGTGTGGTTTACTGGCGGATGTAGCATGCACACGGTCTTCGGTCGGATTGACAAGTGTACTCAAATGTTTCCGACAGGATTCGACCCCGGTTGCGGATATCGAAAGCAGAATCTACAACCTTATGCAGAAGCTCCGCGTAAGCGTTCGCTAAGCTAGGGAGTGACCTGTGGTCTCTGTTTCACATGGATCTCCTCATTTGGGTATGAGGAGTTCTCTGCATTTTTTGCCAATGCCTTGAATAAGTCTTCACTTCTCGTGCCAGTAATGCATTCAATACCGCGCGATAAGGACCTGATCTTACAAGTGCCGCTGATTGTTGAACGGCTGAAGTGGAGTTGGGTGGTTCGTAGCTCGTTGCTGGTACCGTATTGTTACCGTGGATTTTGTCTCGAATTTCGAATGTTGCTGACCAGCGCAAGATAAACTGCATGTATCCACAGCTATCCATGAGCAGAACCGGGAGAGGTTTTAAGCCGGTATTTTTGGCGTGCATCACCTGAACAATTAGTCAAAAATCAAGCATACAGCTGATGAGCAGGAAAGGAAAACATGGCAAGCAACTGCAGGCCACAACCACTCCCTGACCAGCATTATCATGGAGCTTTCGATTACGAAACTCCCTATCCGTGAAAAAGAGTCTCCTTTATTCGACTTGCTCTACTGCTTGATGCACGCTTTGCTCATGCACCATTTTTTACTCGCAGCATATCTAAGCATTTAGCTGTTGATTGAACACCTCAGCGGCGTGTTGTATTGGATTAAACTTTTAGTCTACGTGGCGCTGTTCAGTGTTGCGAATATCCGTACCCGATTTGCTGGGCGTGGTGAAATTGAACCCTCGTATCGATCAAGTCTGCGAATTCTTCCATGGCCATTAAAGTCTACCGCGTGATCAGTCCACATTTTGGTTGAAGTTCATTTTCCTTGAAGTAGAGTAGTTCGTTGACGGCATGCGTGGCGTTTCTGTACTAATATAGGAAATACTTCAACAGCCTTCGCAACTCCGACACTGTATATTTTCGGATTTACATATATAATGTCATCATCCTGAATGTTGACTTTACAGTTGTATATTCAATAAATAAAAAAGACGAACAATATAGCGAACAAGCTTGTTTCCGTAACTTCGTCTTCAGGCCTTTACAGTTATGTGTATGTGTACATATATATCGCAAGAAAACAATAACCAGTGCGATTATGACCCACCTCGCTGATACCGGGCGTCAGCCAGATAACGATGCATTCAAAGTCATCTACAAAGTACCCCAAAACAAATCGAAGCAAGTTCGGAAACGTCACTTGGAAACGGCGGAAGCTATAGCAATCAAAATCATGAACACAGAACTGTGCAAACAGAAGAAGATGGTTGCCGCACTCCAGTTGCCTTGGCCCCAACCAACCCTATGTGATGACCCGAACCATGAATTCAGTCATGTCGTGATGACCCAACAGCATGACAAATTGCACGTGAAAAAGGTCACCGAAAATTCCAGAATTGACCTGTCCCCTTCCCCTTTTCGACCACTGTCCCCATTTTATCCACTCGCTCGGATTAAACTTGATTGACGTTGTTATATTTTGATAATTAACCACTATCACATTTATTTCTACATTAGGTATAAACACACACAACTGTAAAGGTCTGAAGACCAATTTACGAAAACAAGGTTGTTCGCTATTTGTTTAGCTTTTGATATTGCTATGGGAATCCTCCGTGAAATAAAAAGAGAATTAAAAAGACATTTATTTATATACAATGGCATCCTCGTCGAAATCTCTGCCGCAACTGTTGCGCAGAGAAGACATGGCGGGAACCGATGCTATCCAAAGATGTCTTTAGCTCCGTTGCACAGTATTGTAATGCATTATCCATCACCGACATTCAAAGAGTACTCTTGTCTTTTTCACGGAAGAGTTGATTCATTCGAACTAGACGGAGTATAGACAGACCCAGTTCAATCGGTGAAAATTGACGGCCAAAACGATCTTCGTTTGGGCTTCCCAGTGGAATGCGATTGGTTGGATTCACTTTCTTTCACAACCGATTCACTTGAATTCAAAACGAATTCACTTGAAGTAAAAAGTTATGGCCTGCTAATTCACATATTGGTGAAAATGTATTAACTTCTTAGGAGTACTATGAATGAGTTCGCGAAATTGTAGAACACAAAGGGTTATTTCACAGTAGTGGCCGACTTTGATGCAATAAAATATTTTCTTTTTGACTAAATTCGGTTTTATTACGTTCATCAATGCTGTTAACGCTTTAGGCGTGGGCAACAAGTTATCCTTGTTTACTTCAATCTACGTAGTTTCCAGGCTGCACGATTGAGAATTGTTTCCCATCCGTCGAGATTACTCATCTGGGCGGGGATAAAACATGGTCATCCTTGTCGGTGGACCTCAATCAAAGGCATCATGAATAATGGGAAATTCGTCTCAGTAATGACGGAAATGTCTCCAGAATTTCATGGACAAAATTCGTCTGGAAAAGTTTTATTTTTCAGGATAAAGCTCCGTATCATGTTTCACGAGAGCTTAGTGAATTTGTTTAGTTAAGGAGACTGGTTCACTTGTTATTTTTTGTTGGACCTCAGAAAAGATGCATGACTCAACGGTCCACTACATGAAACCCACCCGTAATAGACCGGATATCAATGTGATTGACAATCTGTTTTCTGCTTTGAGGAGAGAGGTCAATGTACTACCTGTATATTGAACATTGGAGGCAAAAGAGCGCTACGCAATGGAGCGACAAAAAGAAGATGACTTCATAACAAAGTTGGTGGATTCGATGACAATGAGACTTGAAAACGTCTTAAAAAATAAGGGCAAGCCAATCGAATATGAGTGTACACAAACTTTACATCTTACTTATTATCAATATTAATTTGTCGTGAATAAAAATTGTTTTATTCTCTTTAGTTAGCTCGTAACTCATCATGGTCATCATGGTCAACCACTACTGATGAAATGGGAGTATCGGTTTCAATTTTGAATAACTCTTTCTGGGAAGTATAAGCTAATCACGAAGATCATCGCTCTAAAGACTCATCTAGGCTTTTTCATTATTATTTGGAAAACATATTTACTTCAGTGTAAACGTTTTGGTTTATCCGATACCTTAAATGTTTCACAGGTACCCGTTGCTTCAGTTTCGATGGGACCTGCATCTCTAGTGAACTCTCCTTATATAGTTCCCTAACATACAGTTTATCCCAATTCACTTGGAGGCATTTTTGTAAAAAAAAATTCAGGAACTCGAAGTTTATTATTTCTGTGTCAACAAAAATAACCTTTTCTAAGTGTGTCGTTACACCGGTGATGTGGTCCTTTTACTCCTCCTCCATATTTGTATTTTAATTTAAAGTATTATACCTTGTTGCCACGCAACAAGCCCAATACAAACATTGTATATTCCGTAGTATGCACCATATTTAAATGCAGCGATATCGTCCTGGACATAAACGATGCTGCACTGCAATGGGGTCATTTCTTCTGAAATTATTCGCGGGGAAGGCTTCACTATTATTACTTTTGCATTGAACCAGTTTATACTGCTTGTAAGTGGGTAGTACGTGTCCACCACGAGTCGTCTTTGGGGACATCTGGAACTGCGGTGGTTGAGCTACCTCAAGCTATTTCCTTCAACAAGTTACATCGTTCAACTTTGAATATGATGATTGAAATACAAATCCACGTTCCATCCAAAAATCATCAGCAAGAGTCCCGCGGGCACAGGTGATAATCATATAATTAACAAGTTGTTATATTCCGCAATGAATTTGAACAGACAAAGTGTAAGACAAACACCACACCTACTGTCATCGGGTCGCGTACGAGAAACATTAAACATGATAGGGTCTCTTAGTGTATGTGTGTGTGTGTGTGCGTGCACGTGATTG